CAATGATGCAAATGTTCACAGTTGAAAATTGTGAAAGAGTTATCGACGTGCTGAAAACAATTGTCGAAATAATAAAATTATTTCTATTTTTGTGGAACTGCTACCAGAAGATGAAATCATTTGTGAGGCATTTTATTTCAAAACGACCTCCCTGTAAACAATTGCCAGTTTAAAGCAATGTTTAAATAAATATTAAAAAAATTATAAATCATAATACACAATTATGATAAAAATTTTTTTTTTAAATCATAATTTATAAGTTATTATAATAAAAACGCAAATATTTATCACATTTAAATATTTTATTTTTTTGTTGTATTGCGTTTACTTATGATTTTTAATTTATTGATATGACGTTTATTTTATTGACTTTAACTAGGTAAAAATTGTTTTTTATTTTTCGTTTAAAATTTTTTTAAAAAATTGAGTTGTATTAATTTTTATAAATTTTTTTTCATTAAAGTGACCTGATGACGGTCTTCCAAAAATCGAAAAAATTAATTTATATTTGCAGAAGTATTTTTTATACTTTAAAAACAAATATTTTTTAAAAACAGCTATGATTAAGAAACAAATATTTATTACTTCGTTTTCCTTTCTTTGAATATAAAAAAAAAATTTGTAGAAATATTTAATTTGAAAATATTCCATGAGCATCCATTTGCTTAAAAAATTATAATTTTTACAAATAAATGCGACTGGAACATAAATATTATACATTTTTTACATTTTCACTTGGAAGAAAATTAGTATTCTTTTATTACAGTGTATTTAATTGAAGAGTTGTCGAATAATCGAAATTTCGTAAAGCTAAAATTTTAAACAAATGTATTTGAATATCCTCGAAGATCTTTTTCACAAATAATTTAAAAAGTTTGATTTAGAGAAGAATTTTAGTTAAAAATTGTAGAAAATAATTATTGAATTAAGAAGATAAAAATAATTTTTAAGGAGTAACAGTAACAAGGGTTTGAATTTGACATTTTTAAAAATCTTAATTCCTGTTTTGAAAGATAAATTTATGAACTTTATGATAGTAAAATGTTTTTTTTTAAATAACGTTATTTTCTAGAAAATATAATAATATATAAAAATAATATAAAAATATAATTCTAATTATAAGCAATGCCTGGGAAATTCAAAAATCATATTAGTAGATTGCAACGTTTGTAAAATTAAATTTTAGTGGCCCCATTTATTAGGTTGATCTTAAACTATATAGAAAAAAATAATGGAGAGCAATGCCAGCGAAATTCAAAAAGCCTTATAAATTATATATATATATATACCAATTATAAATTTTTTTGCACTAATTTTAGTGGCGCCATCTATTGATGTAACTCTTAACCCTATAGATAAAACAGAACATCCGTTTTAACCAACTTAAAACTATAAAATTTAAATATCCCGCCAAGGTAGTTTTAATTCGCTGGTGGTGCCATCTTGCGGTTCTACCTAAAAAGAACAAATCGGTCGGTAAAACAGATTCCTACCTGACCATCAGTGTTTGAATTCATAATAGATACCTACCGAGCAGTTACTGACTGTAGGTACTTAGCTAAGATCAGAACCTGCCCCAGAACTCTCCTAGCTTTACTACTTTTATACACTCTTGAAAGTACCTTAAACCTGATCAGGGCCAGACTTGACAATTCTGGTCAGGCCCACATCAGGAACATCTTAGGGCTCAGATCAGGGCCACGTAGGATTTAAATTTTGAATTTATATCTTTCGAAGATAAAAATGCATGAAATAAATATTTCTTATAATTTAACTTACATAGATCGACAATACTATTTTTAATGAAAAAACCTCATTCTTGATTTTCAAAATTATGTTTTACTATTTTTAAAAACATTGCTCTACATTAATTATGTAATTTTATTATGAAATGTTTCAATTATTTATTTGTAATAATAAATTAATGTACTTAAATCTATACAGAGAAATAAAACAATAATAATATCAACAACAATAATAATAATAATGATAAATTAATAATAATAACAATAAATAAAGAGTTTAAATTAAGGGAGAATGAGGCTAAATGTTAAATTATGAAAAAATATTTTTTTCTAGGAAATAAATCCGCTTAGATACAAATATGTATAGATCAATATTGTAGAGTAATTGTCCTCAACAATTAAAAATCGCAATAAATATAAAAGAAAACATTATCAATATATATTTAAAAAATATTAATATTATAAACTACAATATGTGAAAGCTATTAAAGAAGTAGCAATGTTAAATTTATTTTTGTTTTTCACAACATTTTACATTTAAAAATATTTTTTGTTTACAAAGTCATAACTTTAAACTTATTCCAATTATAAGCAATGCCCGGGAAATTCAAAAATCATATTAGTAGATTGCAACGCTTGTAAAATTAAATTTTAGTGGCCCCATTTATTAGGTTGATCTTAAACTATATAGAAAAAAATAATGGAGAGCAATGCCAGCGAAATTCAAAAAGTCTTATAAATTATATATACCAATTATAATTTAATTTTAGTGGCGCCATCTATTGATATAACATTTAACCTTGCAGATAAAGCAGAACACCTGTTTTAACCAATTTAAAACCTAAAAAATTTAAATATCCCGCCAAGGTGTTTTGAATTCGCTGGTGGCGCCATCTATTGGTTTAACCTCGAACCTGTACTTAGCCGAGATCAGAGCCTGCCCCAGAACTCTCCTAGCTTTACTACTTTTACTTTTAAACATTCTTAAAAGAACTTTATCGAAATATACAAAATACACAATATATATCTCGGTCAAAGAACAAGAAAAAATAAGTAAGTCATGATTTACTTTCGCCACGCTAAAAATTACTTTCGCCATGCTCTTCAGAGGAGTTAACAAAAGTTCCACTTTCGCTACACTTTTCTAATATAAGAAAAGTACCCCATTTCAGAGCAGGCGTTGGAGAAAAACTATTTCTTTGAATTTTATTATTATTATTAGAATTGGAAATTTTGAAAATCTTAGTTCCTATGAAAAAATTTAATAATAATTAAATATTTATTTAAAAATAACGATATTGATGTTTTCGAATAATTTGATAATTAAAGAAATTCGTAAATAAAATGCAATAGAACATTTTTTAAACTATATGAAGGGGGGGGGGGATGGATAATTCTTAATATTTTGATAGAGAAAACGGGAATATGGTTCAAAAATAGTACAAAAATCTAAATAATTAAATAGGGGAGTGAAAATAGTGAAACTTACAATTAGTTTAAGGGACATTCGCAAATAAACTATGTAAGGTTTTAACGGGTCGAGGGGGGGGGTCCAATTTTTTAAAAAATTTCTTATTTTGCGAATAACCCCGTATTGAAAATAAAAAAAAAAATTCTAGAGGTAGAAAATATTTGTTAACTTTGAAAAGAGCGAATTGTTCTTTTTTTGTGTTAGAGCAAATTTTATTTTCTCTACGACGTATCAACAGGTGATTTTTCTATACGTGTGCCATGACTGACTCTTCAAGGAGAATTGTGTGTGCCGACGAAATTCGCGGGATATTTATGTTGTTCCAGAGTAGCACTCGCTGATGGCAGGGATAAGCTGCTCCTCGATTGGTTGATTGAAAAAAGGTGGGAGTACGGTATTCGCGACTCAGTATAAAATGTTTCGCATTCACACCCGTTGAGCTCATTCAGCGTTTTTCGTTCTTCTTAGTAGCAGAAGTAGAGAAAATTTAACTTTATCATATAATTCTTAACATATATTTTATAATATAATATTGAAACCAAAAAGGATTCCGTTTTTAGTGTATCAAATATGACCGGACTCAGTAAGGGAGTTAGAGGAGGAAAATGTCATCGTAAAGTTTTGCGTGATAATATTCACGATAGTGATAGGACAATGAAAGAAGAATTATTTTAAATAAATTAAATTATTAATTAATTAATTAATTAATTATTAATTAATTAAATTATTTTTCTAAATGTTTAATAATTTTTTGATGAATAATAAAATTCGTTGCAGGAATTTAATTTATTAGCATCAGGATAAGAAAAGAGTAAATATTTTTGATGAAAATTAGGAAAAAGTGAGGAAAATAAAATGCAGACTAGAATTTTTGTCAGTTTTGTAAAGTTTCTAAAACGAATTTTTTGGAAGTCAAGTTTAATTTCTATTATTATTTAATTTTAATAAATCTTCAGTAGCTTAATAATCAGTACCCCCCTTTGCCTACCTGGAGGCTTCTTCCTTTACATTTAAATAAATTTGTCATTTTAATTCAGATAGTGAAATAAACCTTCAGTAATATAATAATTCACCCACTTTTAGGATTGGTATTTAAAAAAAAAATCTTCAGTAGTATAATGGTCAGTATTCCCTTTTTCAGAATTTTGTTTGTTATTTAACTTGATTATCAGTAACATATTAGTTAAAACTCACAGATTTAGATTATAAAATTGTTATTTCAATAAATCTTCAGTAGTATAATGGTCAGAATCCCCTTTTTAGTAAACCTATTTTTAGTTAAATAAATCTTTCCTAAAATAATTTTCAACGCCCAAATTGAAGGGGGTTAGTTAGTTACTTATTGTTATTTAAATAAATCTTTAGTAACATTGTAGCTAATTCATAGTTACTCGTCAGTAACAAATTGAAGGGGGTTTGTTACTCATTGTTATTTAAATAAATCTTCAGGTAACATAGTAGCTAATGACAATGTTAGGGCCATTTTCACTAATACCGATTAAAAGTTAATCAATGACTTTTAATCATTAGTAATCCTCAATTTATCATTATTAATCCTCAATCAACCAATCATGAGCCGTTAAATTGACTTTAATCATTTAACTTTTAATTGAATTTGGTGGAATTAGTCCTTAGTGTCATAAAGGCTGAATTCCGCAAAGTATTAAAAACTTTATAAACTTCAGCTTTATGTTACTACCAGGATCTAAATAGATAAATTTTTTTTTCAAGAATAAAAGAATAAAATCTATTTGCAACCAGGAAATTAGATTCCTCCGTTAAAAATATTTGGTGGCCCTGAAAAGGGCCGTTTGTAAATTTAGTCGTCTCTCATCGCTTACTTCTTGGCAACCTTCTTTGCCACCGTCTTCCTAGCCTTGGGAGCAGCCCTCTTCTTAGCCGATGCTGGTGCCTTCGCTTTCTTAGGCGCAGCTTTCGTCACCTTAGGCTTGGCACTCGTGGATTTTGCCTTTGGTGGTTTAGCCGCCACTTTAGGTGTCTTCTTCTTCTCGGCAATTGCCCTCTTGGCCTTGGCGGCAATAATCTTCCTCGGCGTTGATGTTGCCCTCTTCTTAGCCTTCGCTGCACTCTTTACTTTCCCTTTAGCAGCAGCACCCTTGCTCTTACTATCGGCCAATTTGAATGAACCAGCCGCACCCTTTCCCTTCGTTTGCACCAAAATTCCATTTGTCACTGCTGATTTCAGATATTTTTTGATGAACGGCGCCTGCTTCTCGACATCCACTTTGTAGCTGGCGGCAATGTACTTCTTAATCGCCTGCAACGAAGAACCGTTTCGCTCCTTCAGAGATCTAATCGATGCGTTCACCATTCCCGACGTTGGCGGATGAGTCGATTTCGCTCGTGGTTTTTTCACCTTCGTCGCTGATTTCTTCGACTGCACTGCTCCCAATGATGCTTCTATCTTATCTCCCATTTTTCACTATATTCAAAATTCGATTTTTAAAAGTTGTTTTTCAAAATCCGATTTTTAAAAGTTGATTTTTAAAATTCGTGTTTTAAAACTTAAAGATTTCAAATTTCAATTCTCTTACGTTCCTTATGCAACGATTGAGAGTGAATAGGTAACTATTTTAATGCAACGCGGGATACAGTTCTAGAGCACGGACGATGAAGAGAGACCTCGTCGCTCGTGCACCAACATCCATTCGAATTCTCTCTAAAACATGAATCGTAATCAAATGTTAATTAATTTTTTTCCCCTCTCAATTTTAGTCGAATATTAACAATTCCCTTTCATTTCTGTTGGACATCTACTATTAAGTTTATTCCAAAAGGAAACAATTTCACATCCCTTTCAAAATGAGGAGGAAAAATTCAAATTTTCAAGGGACTAATGTTTTACCCACCACGTATTGACATTCAAAAATGATTAAAAATCGGGTAAAATTGATTTTTTCGACGGCAAAATATAATGAGATGGAATGTCCAGATTTCACACTTAATACAAATGTAGCTACTTTGAATTTTTTCGTAACAAATTAATGAAATAGGAAATGTTTAAAGTTGGGGATATGTTCTAATTTACGGATAGAAAGCAGACGACGTCGGTTGTGTGTATATGAAAGCTTTGGATCAATAGTGAAAATTTAATAATAATTCGTAATTTTTTTGTTTTCGGTTTGGAAAATAATTTTAAAATTTGTAAATATGGGAATTTTTGGCAAATTTGTTTCTTTTCTGGATGTTTACGGAACGACAAGGACAAAGTGCGCCTTAAAGCATATACTATGAGATTTTGTTTTTTACATTTTTTTTTCTTTTTGAAGGTAATTTTTACTATTTGGACAATTCACTAATTTCGTGCATCTTGTAATTTGGGTTTTATTTCTTAAATACGGAAAAAAATTATTTTTAAAAAGTATGTTGGGTTTGTGTATATACATATAGAGGGGGAGAAATAAATAGGTCAGGAATTTTTAAATTATTTATTACCCTTGAGTAAAATTATAAAAATAGAAGAAGTACGAGACTACCTTTTTATATTCTTATACAAATTTCTGTATTTAGTTTTGTATTTGGGATTATTTAGCCGTTTATTGTTTCAAGTACTCTGGGAGTTCTCAAAATTCGTCATCGAATGGATAGTATTTAAATCCTTTGTATCTAGAAAGAATATGTTTAGGAATTAGTTAATATTTTATATTATTGCAGATTCAATTGACTAACAATAAAATAATTGAAATTATATTCTTGTTATTATATAAATATATAACATTTTCAAAAATTCTACTTAAAACCTTCTGAAATCTAATGACTTGTAAAAATTCCAACTTTAATTCTCTTAAAATTCAATTATTTTCTACAACTTTTAATCAAACTTCTTCTCGAAATCAATTTATTTTTAATAATTTTCCGAAACTTCTTAGAGAATTCAATTATTTAAATACAAAAATTCAGTTTTTTATAATGATTCTAAGTCCATGTTTTTTAAGTTATTAATTAATTTTCAAAAAATTATAATAAAAAAAATTCTTAAAATTAATTTTTCAAAAATTTTTTAAAAATAATTTATGAACGATAATAGTTTTTTATTCATATGCAATTTAAAAATTTCTAAACAATTGAAATTTGGTAGATTCTATTGAAAAAAATAATTGAATTTTTAAAGAATTTTAATTATTAATATAAACGTGATTTCTCCAAAATTTTAATTAATCTAAAAAAAGGAAAATTTAAAAAAATTTTAATTTACTTTCTTCGAAAAGAATTGAATTTCTTAAAAAAAATTTTGTATAATTCAAAAAAAAATTATTTTTTCAAGAATTTTGATTAAAAATTTTGAACATGTTTGTTATATCTAAAAATAATTGTAAAAAAATTTGAATTTTTTTGGTATGTATTTGAATTTTTTGAAAATTCGTATTTGAAAATATTGAAAATAATTGAATTTTAAAAAATTAGAATACAAAAATTCTAAGAATTATTTTTTTCAAAAATATTTTAATATCATTTTTAAAAGCTAATTTTTATTAATTACCATTTTTAAATTTACACATTGAAGATTTTTCATTAAAGTTTTTGAGAAGTCAATTATTTTCAAAATTTGCAATTAAAATTCTTTAAAAGTTGATTTTCAAAAATTTCTTATAAAGCACTTTGAAAAAAATCAATTATTTTCAATTAAATTTTACGAAATTTCAATTATTGAAACTCTTTTTTATTGTAAATTTTGAAAATTTATTTAGTAAGAATTTATAAAAATACTTGAATTGTTTCGAAGAAATTTAAAAATTTTAGGAAATATAATTGAATTTTATGAAAATATTTGAAAATATTTGAATTCTTCAAAAAAATTCAATTAAAGATGTTTTGAAAATAATTGAATTCCTGCTAAGAATTTTACTATTTATAAAAATAATTGAATTGTTTCAAAGGATTTATGAAGATTTTAGAAAATAATCGAATTTATTCGAAATATATTCAAAAATTTCTTTAAAAATTGATTTCTTCCAAGGAATTCAATTAAAATTGAATTCAATTTCAATTATTTTCAAAATTTGCAATTAAAATTCTTTAAAAGTTGATTTTCAAAAATTTTGAAATTATTTTCAATCAAATTTTACGAAATTTCAATTGTTAACTCTTTTTTATTGTAAATTTTGAAAATTTATTTAGTATTTATAAAAATAGTTGAATTGTTTCGAAGAACTTATTAAAATTTTAGGAAATAATTGAATTTTATGAAAATATTTGAATTCTTCCGTGAAATTAAATTTAAGATTTTTTGAAAATAATTGAATTCCTGCAAAGAATTTTAATATTTATAAAAATAATTGAATTGTTTCGAAGGATTAATTAAGATTTTAGAAAATAATTGAATTTATTCGAAATATATTCAAAAATTTTTTCAATTTTCTTTAAAAATTGAATTCTTCCGAGGAATTCAATTTCAATTATTTGCAAAATTAGCAATTAAAATTCTTCAAAAGTTGATTATTAAAAATTGTTTATAAAACACTTTGAAGAAAGTGTTTAAATTAAAATTTTAGGAAATAATTGAATTTCATGAAAATATTTGAATTCTTCCGAGAAATTCAATTAAAGATGTTTTGAAAATAATTGAATTCCTAGCAAAGAATTTTACTATTTATAAAAATAATTGAATTCCTGCAAAGAATTTTACTATTAAGAAAAATAATTGAATTGTTTCAAAGGATTCATTAAGATTTTAGAAAGTAATTGACTTTATTCGAAATATATTAAAAATTTCTTTAAAAATTTAATTATTCCGAGGAATTCAAGTAAAATTGAATTCAATTTCAATCATTTTCGAAATTTGCCATTAAAATTCTTCAAAAATTGATTTTTAAAAATTGTTATAAAACAATTTGAAATAAATAAAGTAATTTTAATTAAATTTTACAAAATTTCAATTATTGAAACTTTTTTTAATTGTAAATTTCGAAAATTTAATTAGAAAAATTGTTACAAAATAACTTTTTAAGATTTGTCTATAGTACTGATCATTATTCTACTGAAGATTTATTTAAATACTAACAGGATCCTAAAAATGGGTGGACACAGTTTTTCCAAGGATATCAAATATTTGAGACAAAAAAAAAATGTATTAAAATAGTCGCGAAGCACCGTTTTGATACGTTTTTAGTCTCAATTTCAAAGTCTTAGAAAAACTCTGAATAGGAGTGTTATTTTTTTTAATTACTGAAGATTATTCAACGTACAATGAAATCGTTAAGAAGGGGGTACTGACTATTATATATTACTGAAGATTTATTCAACTAACAATTAGCGACTAAACGTGGGGTACTGTCTATTATTTTGCGGAAGATTTATTCAAATAACAATGAATAACAAAAGTTATTCTAGAAACTTACTGAACTGCCGGGCAAGTTCTCTTTCCAGAATCCAATTTTTCAATTTCGATAATTTCCTCCGCTGTCAATTTAAAATCGAAAATATCAAAATTAGCCTTGAGATTCTTTTCTGTACTCGATTTTGGAATCGGAATCGTGCCAATGTCGACCTGTAAAAATAAATTCATAATAATTATATGTCATTTTGTAATTATAAAATTTAATAAAGTGTAATAAAAAATAATAGTAAATATAAGAAAGTAAATAAAGTGTAATAAAATATTATAGGAAATATAATGAGGTAAATAAAATACGAATATTATTTTAATACAGAAAGAGAAAAAAACATAAGTGAAAAATAATTTGAGAAACTCTGTAAATTTGGAAAATACTGTAAAAGTTATTTAAAAGTTATTTTGGCAAATAGGTAAGTTTAGTAAATTGTCGATTTGAATACCAAAAATCGGAGAGCGATTTGAAATTTCGTTTTGTTATATTTTTCCGCCAATTTCAGAAGAATTGGCGCGTCGAGTGTGACTTTTTCAACGGACTTGAAACCCGAATTTGATCCCGGTGTGTTTGGTGCACCAAATGGACTGTACGATGTAATTTCTATTGAATATTCACGGCACAAGTCTCGTAATTTTTTCTGCACTAAATTCACGTGGCATTCGACTTGATTCATAACTGGTTTTATCTTTGCAACCGCCAATATTCTCCTTATTTGCTCGGCATTAAAATTACTCAAACCGATATTTTTCGTTAATTTCAGTTCCACGCATTTCTCCATTCCCCGCCACGTTTCAATATAGTCGACATCGTCCTGGAAAAAGGAGAATAAAAAATTATTTTTTTGAGGTAATTTTAGTTTTTTAAAAATATTGTGTCGTTTTTTTTAAATATTTTGTTAAATTAATTTTACTGTGTTAATTTAACCTCTAAATCTGAATTAGTAGATTTTTTTTTAAAATTATAATAAATAAATGTAGTAATGATGTTTTTTTATTATAATAAATGAACTCTTAAAATTAATTTTTTTTTTAATACCGAATCAGACACTGGCCAGTGAATTAGATAAAGGTCGATATAGTCGAGACCGAATTTTTTTAACGAATCTTTACAAGCTTTTACCACTTCCTGTTCCTTGTGGTCATCATTCCAAACCTTGAAATTAAAGAATAATTTTTTCGTTTATTAGAAATATTTTTTTATTCGATTTTTAAATATATTTTAAAATAAAATTTAATTTGAAATAAAATTTTGCCTAGATACTTACTTTAGTAACAATAAATAAATCTTCCCTCTTTACGGTGCCATCTGCAATTTTTTCTCGCAAAACTTTGCCAATTTCCCTCTCGTTCCCATAAACAGCGGCGCAATCAAAGTGCCGATAACCGATGTCAATTGCTAATCGAACTGCACTTTCGACTTCAGACGGACTGTCCTAATTTTTTTTTGTAGGTGATAAAAAAGACGAAGTTAAAAATTATAAAGTATTTTTTAATTTTTCTTTTTTTCCAATTTCATGTTTTGCAAAAAAAAGTTCATTTTTTGCAAAAATTTTTAAGGTTATGTTTTAGACAAAACTATGAACAATAAATAATTTATAATTTAATTTGAATTCGTAAATGAAGAGAAAGATTTAATTTAGTTCCAATTCGTAATTTGGAAAAAAAGAAAGAAAAATATTTGAAAAATTGATAAATTGAAAAAAGAAAATTGTACTTACAACACCCTGCCATGTACCGAGTCCAAGAACTGGTACTTTTGATCCATTATTCAGTGTTATTGAAGGAACTGACATTTTTCTATAAAAATTTTATTTTTCTTTACAAAAAATTTGTTCTTTTTTGGTTAATAAAATTTAATTAAAAAATTTTAAATAAATATTTCACTGTTGTTTTTTTGTAGGTGAACGGAATTATTATGGAAGTGGTAAAAGCAGATGATAACCAAGCCCATTGAGCTATGCAACGAACAGTCAGACCAGTCAAGACCAGTCTCAGAATTCTGCGAACTAGAAACTTGAATTTTTAATCACCGATGGCGCCACTAATCAACTACAAATTTTATATCACAACAGAAAACTGCAATCGGGTGAGTGTTTTTATTTTCTTTTCTCTTCGACTAAATGTTACTTTGAGGTTTTTTGAATATTGTAGAACAATACGAATTTTATTATTCTTGAAAGAATTTAAATATTTAAAAAAATAATTCAATTCTTGCCAAGAATTTTATAAAACTTTATAAAAAACTTATATAAAAACTTTATATCATTTCTTTCGACTAATTTTATGCAAATTCTAATTTAAATAATTGAATTCCAGAGAAATTTGTATTATTCATGAAAAAAAATCAATTCTAACGAAGATTTATACAAAAAATTTTTTAAATAATTGAATTCTGTTTGGAAATTTTATGATAATATTTTATTGATAATAATTGAATGTCTGAGTGGCATTTTATTACATTTTTTTGAAAATAATTGAATTCCTAAAAATTATTTTATTATTTGCGAAAATAATTGAATTCTTGCGAACGATTTTATTAGAATTTTTGAAAATAATTGAATTTCAAAGAAGAAATTTATTACTTTTAAAAATAATTGAATTCTTCCAAAGTATTTAAAAAAAACATTTTTTAAAATTATTTTTTCGAGGAATTGGAATACAAATTTTTAAGAATAATTAAATTTTTTTAACTAATTCCTGTAAAATTGTGTATTAAAAATATTTATATTCCTTCAAAGAATTTTATTATTTATAAAAAAAAATTGTTGAACAAGAATTTTTTTAATAATTTTGAAAATAATTGAATTTTTTACAAGTTTCTCTTTTATTTTCTGTAATTGAATACTTTTTTAAAGAATTTTATTAAATTTTTTGAAAATAATTGAATTCTTTTGAGAAATTTTATCAAAATTAATTGAATTGCTGATAAAACTTACTATTTATGAAAATAATTGAATAGTTGCTAAGAATTTTATTAAAATTTTCAAAAATAATTAAATTCCAGAGAAAAATTTTATTATTTATAAAAATAATGGAATTATTGCGAAAAATTTTATTAAAATGTTTAAAAAGAATTGAATTTCTGTGAAAAAAATTTGTTATTTTTGAAAATAATTGAATTCCTAAAAAACATTTTATTATTTATAAAAATAATTGAATTCTTGCGAACGATTTTATTAGAATTTTTTTTAAATAATTGAATTTTCAAAAAGAAATTTATTACTTTTGAAAATAATTGAATTTGGCAAAGAATTTTTTTAAAATACCTCAAAATAATTGAATTTTCAAGAATAATTTTGTTATTCATCGAAATAATTGAATTCTTTGGAAAAATTATTTACGTAAATAATTTAATTCTTGGGAAGAATTTTATTAAAATCTTAAAGAATAATTGAATTATTTCAAAAAAATTTTATTTAAATTGTAATTAGAATAATTGATTTTCTTTTAAACAATTTTATTAAAAAATATTTGAAAATAATTGAATTCCTGTGAAAAATTTTAATATTTTTGTAAAAAATTGAATTCTTTTAAGAAATCTTATGAAAAATAATTTAATTCCTGAGAAGAATTTTATTATTTATGAAAATAATTGAATTTTTCTATTAATTAAAATTTAAAACAGTTTTAAAAATAATTGAAATTCTTTCTTTTGAAAAAATGTATTACTTTTAAAGATATAATTAAATTCTTGCAAAGAATATTGTTATTTAAGAAAATAATTGAATTTTGCAAAGAATTTTATTGAAATGCCTCAAAATAATTGAATTCTCGGGAAGAATTTTATTAAAATTCAAAAGAATAATTGAATTATTTAAAAAAAAAATAATTAAAATTGTGTTTACAATAATTGATTTCTTTCCAACAATTTTATTAAAATATTTGAAAATAATTGAATTCCTGTAAAAAAATCGTAATATTTCTGAAAATAATTGAATTCTTCAAAAAAATTTAAATAAAACTTTTTATTTAAATTATTGATTTTTTTATGAATTAAAATTCAATTTTAAAGTTAATTATTACATTTTTTTTTATCAATTCCTGTAAAATTTTATTAAAAAGAATTGAAATCCTGCGATGAATTTTATTATTCATGAAAATAATTGAATAGTTGTAAAGAAATTTTATTAAAATTTTTTGTAAATAATTGAATTTCTGTAAAAATTTTTTTATTTTTTAAAATAATTGAATTGTTTTGCGAAGAATTTTTTATTATTTATGAAAATAATTGAATTATTGTGAAAAACTATATTAAAATGTTTAAAAAGAATTGGATTTTTGTGAAAGATTTTGTTATTTTTGAAAATAATTGAATTCTTCATAAGAATTTTATAAATATTGTTTTAACTAATTAATATTTTCGAAATATAATAAGTATTATGAAAATTTTATTTTAAATAATTTTAATCTTGTGGAAAATTTTATTTGTGGAAATAATTGAATTTTTCGATTAATTAATTGAAAATAGTATAAAAAATAATTGAAATTCTTCGATGAATTTTATTATTTATAAAAATAATTGAATTCTTGCTTAGAATTTTGTTATTAATTTTTTTTTAAATAATTAAATTTCCATAAAAAATGTTATTATTAGTGAAAGTAATTGAATTATTCTAAAAAATTGTATAAAAATTTTGTTAAATAATTGATTTTTTCGAAATATTTTGATAATTCTATTCTAAAATTATAATTGAATTCCTGTGGAATTTTTATTATTTATGAAAATAATTGAATTTTGGATGAATTTTATCAATTTTTGCTTAAATAATTGAATTTTTTTGCGAAATTTGATGAAAATACTAGATATTGAAAATAATTGAATTTTTTAGAATTTTTTTTATTTCTAGTATTAGCGAATTTAAAGTAAATTCTTAAAAAACAGAAATAGTAGCTTTCAGTTGCTGAAATCTAAAAAAAGTACCTAAATAGTGGCATAACTTAAAAAAAGCAGTAAATAGTAGGTTTTAGTAGATGAGTGCGAAGGCTGAAAAAGTATTCGTTAAAATATTGTTAAATCTTGAATTATAATTATAAAACTGAACCTGATGACAACTTTAAAAAAAAAGCCACAAAAAAATTAATGTTATTACCAACCGGTACATAAGCTGCAGTCAATAAGGTAGGGATTATATATCAACAAGCTGCGGTCAATAAAGTAGGAATTTTTAAATAACAGTTAATAGCTTCAGAAGATAACGATAAAATGAATAAACTACAGTCGATAAAGTAGAAAATACGTGTAAAAGTTTGAAACTCGGTAGATAAGTTATCGTTGTATAAACTACAGATGGTAAAGTAGGAATCGCTTTTTTTACATATATACTTTTACCTACAAAAATATTTTCTACTTTTACCTACAAAAACATTTTCTACTTTTACCAACACAAAAATACTTTTTCTTTTTACCAACAAAACAATTTTTTAATTTCACCTAAAAAATAATAGTTTTTCAAATAAATGAAAAGAGGGAAATGTAAAATAGAAAACAAGTTTTGTTTTTTTAGTAAGACATAAGTTTAATATTTGTTAAAAAGGACGAACAGTTAATGTCGATGATGGGGTGTCTTGTACAGGGCGCTTGGGGAACGAATAGAGTCGAGAATTATAGAAAAATTCACATAGTTTTCTTTGAAACTCGTCAATAAAAGTGAAAAACGAAGAGAAAAGTAAGAAGAAAAAAAAAACTAACAATAACAACAACACTTGAAATAATTTAGTGGTAGTTATTGAAACACATATACCTATACATATATATTAAACGAAGGATTATAATTTGAAAACACTACAGGAAGCTGATTAGATTCACAAATCGAAATACACAACAAATTTATTCTTCGGTTTTCAAGGTCATTCGTCAATTTTAATCTAAAATCAAAATAATCGTTTTCAAAACATTGCTTATTCGTTTTTGTTTTGTTTATCAAACTTCCTGTGTGTGTGTGTGTGTGTATTTCTCTTGGAACCAATTATAAAAGATATTTTCTCTCGTTTGTCCCTTGCATTCGAAAATTCAGTTGAGAATGAAATTTACTTTTTTTTATCTACTCTTGAAACTTTTTTTTTTCTTATGTGAATTTTGAAAAATTTTTTAGCGAACATTTTTTAAAATTTTGAAAATTTGGAAAATTTATTAAATTTACAATTTGGAATTTACAAAAAAACGTTTTTTGTAAATTTTGTTATCGAATTTGTTGCATTTGTTATCAAATTTGTTAGGTGACAATTTGTTATGTAACAAGTTATGTTATTAAACAACAAGTTAAGTTATTATTTGTTATGTTTTGTTAAGGGACAAATTGTCACATTTAGAAAATTTGGAATTTCGAATTTGTAATAAAAATCTTTTTATTTTGATGTTAGAATTAAAATAAAAATACTTTTAATTAAATACTCTGTTAATTTTGTTACGTGACAAATGTTACACAACTGTTACAAAAATAAAAAAAAAACCGTCTGACACTATTTTTCAATTTTCACTTGAATTTTCACACATAAAACACGCGTTTCGATTTTGAGAGAAAAAAAGAATAAAAAAAAACTGGAAAAATTGAAAAAATTGTTTTTTTTGTACGTGTCGTGCTCGCGTTATTTTTTTCAAAAATGATTTTACATCACGAAAGTTATGTTTTTTTTTTTAAAGACGATAAATCGTTCCGGAAGAGTCGATCGACTTTTGTTTTTTGGGTTAAAAAAATTGTTGTCGATCTTCGTTGTTGTGTGTCTTGATAGAATGTGATCGAATATCTCGGGCGGATGCCATATTAAAGGCTTCTTTTTTTTCTTCTTCCCCGGTTACATTTTTCTGTGACCACTAAGCGACATTCAAAGACGAATTCATGTTTATTATAGCTATAGGATAATCCTATTATTCATAGATGTATGGTGATTATGCAGGCCACGATTTTGGAACGTTGTTGATTTTTATTTTTAGTTTTTCAAAAGTCGACGATTTTTAGTTTTATTTTTTTCTAAATTGT